GTCTATTCTATTCTATCCTATCCTGTTCTCCTATCCTATCTATTCTATTCTATCCCATCCTGTCTATTCTATTCTATCATACCTTTCTATTCTATTCTATCCTATCATATTCTGTCTATTCTATTCTATCCTATCCTGTTCTCCTATCCTATCTATTCTATTCTATCCCATCCTGTCTATTCTATTCTATCATACCTTTCTATTCTATTCTATCCTATCATATTCTGTCTATTCTATTCTATCCTATCCTGCTATCCTATTCTGTCTATTCTATTCTATCCCATCCTGTCTATTCTATTCTATCATACCTTTCTATTCTATTCTATCCTATCATATTCTGTCTATTCTATTCTATCCTATCCTATTATGTCTATTATATTCTATCCTATTCTGTCTATTCTATTCTATCCCATCCTGTCTATTCTATTCTATCCTATCTATTCTATTCTATCCCATCCTGTCTATTCTATTCTATCCTACCTTTCTATTCTATTCTATCCTATCATATTCTGTCTATTCTATTCTATCCTATCATATTCTGTCTATTCTATTCTATTCTATCCTATCCTATCCTATCCATTCTATTCTATCCTATCCTATCCTATCCTGTCTATTCTATTCTATTCTATTCTATTCTATTCTATTCTATCCTATTCTATTCTATCTACTCTATAAAGCATTAGGGAAATGTAATATGCTGAGGTTTGATGTCTTTTCTCTCTTAGTATCCCAAAGTAAACAAATAAGAAACTTTATGAGAGGTATGGAGGTTGAAGGTTGGGGGGGTTGAAGTAGTGTTTCCACCCACTCCCCCCTGTGCTTTTTAAACGCCTCTGCAGAATCCTCCTGGGGGGGGTTGTGAGCCCCCACCCCCTCATCTCGCTCCCTCTCTCCCCCCGGCTCCTCCTGCGCTCGCCCCGGCTCCAATTGTTGACAAAAGACGCTGCGAGACGGAGGAGGCCAGAGCCGGTGCTGGTGAGTCGATCTGCCCGTTAACTTCTCTTCCTTCCCACCACCAAGGCAGCGGCTCCAGCAGAGCGGGATCCCGCCCAGAGGGACGATCGCTGGGAATCCCGCCGTGGAGGCTGCTTTGTGTCCGCCGTTAGCCGTTGGTACCAATGCGGGGTCGGTCCCCTCCTCCCCGCTGCCCCCCTCCGTGTGATCCGGTATCATATGATGTTCATTTGAGTCTGTAGCCCCGGGCAGATAGTGACAGCTTTCCGTCTGTCTTTGTGCCTTTGTGTCCCTCTCTCTCTCCGGAAGGTGTGGCCGAGGTGATTGGGACCAAACAGCAGCAGCAGCAGGCCGGTGTGAAGCGGACTCCCCCCTCAGTCACCTCCTTCCTTCTCCTCACCTCTTCTCCATTATCCGCTAAAAAGAAAAACATCCTCCAGACGGGAAATTCTTAGACAAAAGCGGATGATAGAGATGCGAGTGTGAGTGGAAACGCCGGAGGAAGCGGCGGCGGCGGCGGCCTCGTGCGGCTCTGTTTATCCCGGGAATGGTGTGAGCTGAGGCGGCCGGGCAGTCTGGATCTGACCGGGGACTCATCGTTTCCCCGGAGCCTCCGCGGCTCCAAGCCGCGACCCGAGCCCTCCAAGATGGGGAAGTGTGACGGCAGATGCACGCTGTTAGTGATCTGTTCACTGCAGCTGGTAAGAGAGCATGCTTTTATACAGAGGCGGTCCAAGGCTGCATGGGGCCCTAACCCTAACCTGCACTAATGTTCCTGTTAAATTACTCATGTTAAATCCTTGCATTTAATTTACATGCAACATAAAGATATAGGTATGTAACTGATTGAATAAATAATAAAATAACTACAGCTAGATGCTTCTGATAAAATATCCTAATATTGACATTTGATATTTGCAGGGTCATTAGAAGTAATTAAGAAAGTCATTTTTAAAGTAAGCTCCTAATTGGCATTAAAGTGCATGATCATTGGGGCATTTAAAATGCTTTATTTCCGTCAGATATATCAGATATATATGGTTCCGCGTGTTTTTGTGGATCTGCTTTTGGTTGATCGTAAAGCCGTATGTTCGGAAAAGAAGCTTGAGGCGGAGAAAAAGCTAGAGAATGGGAAAATGTAAATTTCAACAAAAGTGGCTGGAAAACAAGGAATTCAGGACATAGTCAACTGTAAAGACGATGAAGGATTTTGCAGTGTTTTAAATTTATATAGGTACTTGTTGATGCCATTAAAATTATTTCTAAGAGCATTAAAAAGCATTAGATTAGAGTTGCTCATTCCTGTATAAACCCTGTTATGATAACGTGAGACACTAATCAAAATCCGATTTACAAACGCATTAAATCAGGATAAAATTAAATGCTCTCACTCCATAGAATATATTTTTCACCTAATTATTCACACAGTTTTGCTAATTAGCCTGCAAATCATATTTTTGATATTTTTGTAATTGCTGTATGAGTCTTTTAAAAGATGTCCCTTTTAAAAGTAATTCATTTTTTACACTCAATTTATGTAACCAATCTAAATAGGACTTTGTCGTCATCTTGGACTTTTAGCTAACACTGGCATTTGGTATCTACTTAGATGGTCCCATTAAGGGTACAAAAAAGATATATTTTTGATTAGATAGATATAAAAAGATGTAAATCTTTAAAGATGCAGGGGTCTTAGAAGTCCTTGTTTCTTTAAGGAAACATTTTTGTTTATATTCTTTCTGTTGCCACCATAGATATTCTATATAAAGTCACTTTTTACACAGTAGAGTAATATACTTTGTACTTAAAAAAAAGGATGTACCATTATAAAACACATATTTATGTGTAAAGTTTGATATCAAGGAAACTAGAGTTTTGTTTTGCATGATTACAACAGATAAATCACCCATGTTGGTTAAGGAGCCCAAAATCAACTGCTTAGTTCACTCTTTGCCCTGGGCCGGCCATGTTTTAATACATGCGTGTGTTTGTGTGTCCACAGCTGAGGCTGCCTCTCTAACCACCAAGATATAATTAGTGTGGCGTGCTACAGACACACACATTGTAATCAGACATTTTTGTCCAGGCTCCCTGTACAGTCACACACTCACACACATACGCAGCTTTGAGCTGCAGCTGCTGGGGCGCCATGCCACATTAGAGGAGAGGCTGTGGTTCCCTGAAGGAGAGGGAACAGGGTAGCCTCAGCATGTTGGTGTAGGGAAAAATCACGTGAATCTTAAGATGAGCATGTAAATAATTGTATCGGCCCCTAAAGGAATAGAATTTGGGGCCACAGTGTCTGTAGAGGTAACTTGGAAGCACCACAACACTATTTGTGTTTCATTTAAATCATCCAAGATGTTTTATATGGGGAACCTTTGCACTCCTAGATTCCTAATTCCTTAACACAACATCCCCAGCACTGTTTTAACTGATGTAATAATAAAAAAAAGAAGAAAAAAAGAGAAAATAGTGATTAACAGTCTGAGAATTGTGGAGAATAGATTATTTCTAACTGTTCAGAATATAAAGACCCACTAAACTAGAGACAATAGATAATTCAAACAGTTTGAGTTTTCTCTAAAATATCTTGATTTTAACCCCTTAGGTTAAGCCCAGCTACTACAGTTTTTCTTTCAGTTATCTTGTAGCCAACTGCTGCAAAACCCGACTCAACTGATGTCTTATGTATACCATTGTTGCCTGTTGATGCATTTTCAACGCATACTAAGGATCATATCGGATGCACTTTGCTGCCACCTAGTGGTTAAGATAATTGTATGCCCAATTAGTGGCTAGCTTCCAATAGAAATAAAGGTTAGTAGCTGTAGAGCTGCATTCAAATGACAGATTCCTGCAGAATTTAATTTATTTGAGAGGGAAAACGGCATTTAGGTTTATATAATTGCAAAGTAGTAAGGTGGTAATGACTAATAAAGGTTTCAGAAGATTGACCTGCTGAGAATGTTTCTAGAAACCCTGTTAGAGCCGCTCATTGTGGCCATTGTTTGTTGTGCTGATGAGTTTCTGTGCAGCACAGGGATTTGGCCCATAGATTCTCATTAGTTTGGCTCTTCTTTGTTTGTTTGTTTGTTTGTTTGTTTGTTTCTTTCTTTCTTTCTTTCTTTCTTTCTTTCTTTCTTTCTTTCTTTCTTTCTTTCTTTCTTTCTTTCTTTC